GGGGCCTGGACAGGGATTTGATGCATTCCTCTGTCCCCTCCCAGTTCTTACTGGTTTCTCCAGTGTCTGTAGAAGAGCAGTTTTGGTGGCTTTACCCCTGCAGATAATTTCTCTTGCACGGTAGTGGTGATGGGGAGGTGTGTCTGGATGCATTTCAGCTGTAGTTGCTGTTTTGCTTTCCCAGACTGCACCTTCCCAAGGGGTAGAGGCTGGAGCATTTTGTGATGTGTCCCCAGTACTGAAGAAAAAGGTTCAAGAGCAGGAGGAATTCCTCAACTGTATACACTCTGAGAATTTAAACAATAACTTCACTATCACACAGAATTGAAACCATCCAAAGAATATGTCTACTTTAATCTTGTGCTAGCTTAAATGACATTTGGCAGCCTCTGCCCCAGAAAGATTATCGTCTGCTCCTGCTTATTTCCCTGCAAGTCCTTATCTCTCTTCAGATTTCAGATATCTTGTTTGTCCTATAACATCAAAAATCTGATGTATTTAAGAAAAATGTGCTAATTTGCAGATCAGTAAGTTTAGTGTTGCTGTAAGAATAATAACATTTTTATGGGATGCCTACATCTCCAAGCTGAGTAGCACCTCTGTGTGTAATACTCAAACTAGAAATGATTCAAGAAGATACATATATATATATATTAAAAAAACACTAATGACGTGCTAATGTACTGTAATAATATCCATCACTAGAATCAAGACATTGTTGATGCTCAACTTGGTTGCATCACAAGTAGTTATGACAAGCGAGAAGACACACAAATAAAACACATACTATATAATTCCCATATAGTAAATTCTTGAAACTCAAAACCAAAGTATTTAATATGAAGGATTGACTCAAAATATGGCGAGGGAAGAAAATAATTGGGAAGAAGGAATTGCACAGGAACACAAGGAAACTTTTAAGTGTCATTTATTCATTATCTGAATGTTTCTTGTGGATGCACAGATGAGCACGAGTGGAATTACATTTTGTTTTGTTTGTTTGTTTCTGAAGAGATGTGGTCCTACTCTGACCCAGGCTGGAGTGCAGTGGTGGGATCATAGTTCAATGTAGCCTCCAACTTCTGGTCTCCAACAATCCTGCTGCATCTGCCATCTAAGTAGCTGAAACTACCGTTATGTGCCACCAGGATCGGCTTGAGCACTTGTTAAACCAAACATTTCATGCAATATTTACTGTATAGTAATGATGTCTCAATAAGAGTATTACAAATCAATGAATGAATAATTTGTTCAGTACAGATTCGTGGAAAAATAGACACTAACATGATGAATGTCTGACATTTATGAAAATACAACTGCATAAAATGTGTTCTCTTTACATTCATTAGGTAAACACAATAGTGCATACACATCACACCATGCTTTCATTACAGGAAGAAAGTTCTGAAAATATCACTGGGGTGACCCACACTGTGTTGGGCTTGATTCAGGGAGCAGCCAGGCCCAGTGGTGAGAAGCACAGACCCAGGTATCTGGGCTCACTCTGACCAAATGTGATCTCTGGGAACATTGTACCACCCATCTGTGCTTCTGCTGGTAATTTTCCATCTTTAACACGGAAATAACATTGATACTACATACCATGATTTCTCCACATATGTAAAAATTAAATAAGATGATTGATTGCTGATAAGTTTAAATATATTCAGTTTTCACAGGTCCATTGTACTTCAGTAAAACTATTTTAAAATAAGTTACAAATACAATTGTAGGTTTAAAGAGTTTATCACAAAACAAATTTATAATAAGAAACTACATTTTCCAAAATCCTATCAATATCTCTAAACTCCTGCAGAACACTCATCTGCTCTGGGCCCTGCCCTCTCCTCAGGCGCCCCACCCCAGAGCTTGCTATACAGTAGGAGACATGCAAATAGGTCCCTCCCTCTGCTGATGAAAAGCAGCCCAGCCCTGACCCTGCAGCTCTGGGAGCTCCAGCCCTAGAATTCCCAGGTGTTTCTATTCGGTGATCAACACTGAACACACAGGACTCGCCATGGAGTTTGGACTGAGCTGGGTTTTCCTTGTTGCTATTTTCAAAGGTGATTCATGAGGAATGAGTTGAATGTACGTGAATATGAGTGAGAGGAAACTGGGAATATGTGGGGCAGTTTCTGACCAGGACGTCTCTGTGTTTGCAGGTGTCCAGTGTGAGGTGCAGCTGGTGGAGTCTGGGGGAGGCTTGGTACAGCCAGGGGCGTCCCTGAGACTCTGCTGTGCAGCCTCTGGATTCACCTTCAGTAGCACCAGGATGAACTGGATCCGACAGTCTCCAGGGAAGAAGCTGGAGTGGGTGGCTGACATAAAGTATGATGGAAGTGAGAAATACTATGTAGACTCTGTGAAGGGCCGATTCACCATCTCCAGAGACAATGCCAAAAACTCCCTCTATCTGCAAATGAACAGCCTGAGAGCTGAGGACACAGCCGTGTATTACTGTGTGAGAGACACAGTGAGGGGAGGTCAGTGTGAGCCCAGACACAAGCCTCCCTGCAGGGGCGTATGGAACCACCAGGGGGTGCTCAGGTTACACAGAGGGCAGGTGCAGCCCCAGGGCAGGTGCAGCCCCAGGGCAGGTGCAGGTGGAAGTCAAGGGCTGCTCTCCTTCAGGGTCTCTGGCTTCCTCTCATCTAACAGTTCCCCAGAGGGCCTCGTATATTTACAGTTATATGCCTACTACTGAGGTTTCTAAGTTCGTAAAGTTTATTATAAGAGGAACCGCTATCAAACACCCCTAAAGCAGGTGTCACAGATGGAGAAAGAAAAGGGGACAAGAAGCCGGGTGAGGCTGTGGACACTGTCTGCCCAGGATTCAAGTTTCACAAGCAGTGAGGGAGAAATGAGGAGTCTGATGGAGCTCCCTAAGTACCATGTGGTCCAAACTAAGTCCAGCAAGGCCATCAGGCCTCCCTGAGCTCTAGGTGCCCATCAGGGGTCCGCCATGTGCCTGGCAGCCGCCGTGCCTTTTCATCTTCGCTGCGCCCACTCACTGTCTGGGACGAGCTTCCAGGACGTGTGTGTTTAGCACCAACCAGATGATGGACCTCAGAGAGCAGCAGCTGGTGCCCGGACCATGGGCTCCCTAATGCTGGAGGAATGGGAGGTGCATTCTCAGGGACAAGGCACTGTTGATGGATTTTTATATAGAAACCACGACTTGACTTGCTTCTCTCAGGAGACACAGAGGATGCCATTAGGCTATCATGCCTCACTTCTATTCTGAAAATCACCCTCTTTATAGTAAAAGAAAACAATTCAATATCCATTCCACTGAAAGTAGTTTCTTTTTAATTTGGTTGCAAGTTTACCACATATGTGCCTGAATTTATTCTCAGAATCTGCTGAATTGTCTAGAAATCTCACAAATTGAACAAAAGTGAATTCTTCATTCCTACCAAAATGTGTGTATGTAGGAATTTCAGTGTGTTTTCCAGAACCCGTGCACACCGACCACCGTGTTTCATGGTCATTTATTGGCCTGGTGAGGCCCTCACTGACCCCCTCCCTCACCTGTGCTGTCTCTGGATTCTCCATCACAGCCAGCGCTTCCTGCTGGAGCTGGATCCGCCAGTCCTCAGTCAAGGGAGTGGGTCGGGGCATAGGTCACGAGGGAGCACAAATTCTAACCCCCTCCTCACGAGCTCAGTCACCATCTCCAGATCCGTGTCCGAGTATCGAATTTTCTTGCAGCTGAGTTCTGTGACCAACTGCCACAAACTTGTATTCTTGTGAGAGGAACAGAGAAGACGTCAGTGTGATCCCAGACACAAACTTCCCTGGAGAGGGGCCCAGGAGCAACACAGGGCACTCCGGCTCCATGAAAACACGGCCCAAGTTGGAGAATGGGTTGCCCGTAACCCTCACATTTCACCATTAGATACTCTACACTATGCCTACACTAAGGTGCGTGTATAATTAGAATATGCTATTTATATACGTGTATAATCAGAATATGTTATTTATATACGTGTATAATCACATCTAGTGTAAGAATTTGTTGCTTCTGCCTTATGTGACCATTAAAGACCACATCTCTCACCTTATTCAATGACCTTGTAAAGTATAATACTTTCATGTAAGATTTATCTCCTTTTTTGTGTTTCTTCTTCTGTCTGTATTCTCTTTCTCTCTATCTCTCTCTCTCTCTCTGACTCTGTCTCTTTCTATGTCTCTCTCTCACACACACAAATATACAAACACACAGTGGTTGGCAGTATATAGGCTAATTAAGAATACATTCCCATATGCTTTAAAAATAGCAGTTTTACAATATGTGCCTTTAATTTTTCAAAGAAAACTAAATCCAACTGCCAGTGATTTTTTATGTGATTTTTAAAATTTAAATTGTTAATTTTTGTTTTCATCAATCCTCGTATGTGTACTATTGTATTCTCTCAGGTTATCTGGTGCCTTCATAGAATTGAACAAGTGAAACTCTGCATTTAAATTTCTGTGACTCAGGACTGGTGAGCAGTAAGTAAGAGGTCACTCTCCTGACCCTTCCCCACAGCCACAGATTCCTGAAGGCAGAGCAGGTGTAATGACCTCACAGTAGACCAAGGCCCTCAAAGGTGACGTTGGACCTTGAGTTCCAGCACATCTTGGGAGGTCAAGCGGATGCTTGTGAAAGAAATAGTGGCTATGTGACAGTTTCTAACCAGAATGTCTCTGTGTTTGCAGGTGTCCAGTGTGAGGCGCAGCTCACAGAGTCTGGGGGAGACTTGGTACAGCTTAGAGGGGTCCCTGAGGCTCTCCTGTGCATCCTCTTGATTCTCGTTCAGTAGCTATGGGATTCATTGGGTTTGCTGGCCGCAGGGAAGGGTCTGGAATGGGCTGCAGTTACATGGTGTGGTGAAACTCATCAATACGATGCAGCCTATGTTAGGAGTAGACTCACCATCTCCAGAGACAACACCAAGTACATGCTGTACAAGCAAATGAACAGCCTGAGAACCCAGAACACGGCAGCGTAAAACTGTGCAGGAAACACTGTGATGGGAAGTCCACGTGGGCTCAGAGACAGACCGCCCTGCAGGACACAGGGGGCTGGCTTGGCTGCAGGGGGCACTCGGCACCCACAGGAGACAGGAGCAGCCCAGGGCAGGGGCAGGTGGAGTTCAAGGGCTGCTTTCCTGTCAGACCCTGTGGCTTCTTCTGCACCAAATGCATTCTCCTGGGAGCCTCTCTGTATTTATGGTTCTCTGCCTACCATTGAGGCCTCTGGATTGGAAAAGGTTACTACTAGAAAATAATTTATCATATGCCCCTATGGAATGAATCACTAATTGAGGGAGAAGATGTCACAGGAGGCCAGGCAGGCTGTGGAAACTGTCAGATGTGGATGCAGATCTGATGACAAAGACATGAGAAATCGGGGAACTCTGATCAAACCTCCTAATTACGCCATGGTCCACTCTAAGTCTAGTAAAACCATTGATGCCTCCCTGGGCCAAACCCACCCATCAGGGATCTCTCCCGTGTCCCAGCAGCAGACACGACTTACAATCTCCACTGTGTATAATCACCGTCTGGGAGGAGCTCCCAGGACACGTGTCTTTGCATTAACCGGGTGATGGATGTCAGAGAACAGCAGCTGGGTGCCTGGTGTGTGGGTTCCCAGATGTTGAAGAAATGGGAGGTGCGTTCTCAGGGGAAACACACTGTTTATGCATTTTTATATAGAAACCATGATTTTTCTTGCTTCTCTCAGATGACATAGAGGATTAAGAAAAGAATCTGTAAACAACTGTCCACATTTCTCCTGAACACATGCATTATTTCTTAATTCTGAGTAGGGATTTGGCAGAGCATTGCCCTTCTCCTAAGAAATTGTTCAATCCAGGCTGAAACCACATGGTGATCACATTCTTTGGTTTCGTTCAGGTGCAGAGATCTTGAATAGAGCAGATTTGGTCCTTTCCACACACTAAGCCTCACCTTCCTCAGAGAAAGAGCACAGATTGATCCAACTGTGTCTGAGGTGGGAGCTGTTTCTCCATGCTTTGGAGCTTGCAGGGACCCCCAAGTGTAGCTTTATTGAGTCAGGTGTGTCTCCATGTGGGGGACCCTGCTGCCAGTGATTGCTGCTCAGTCCTAAATGTGGGCTCAGAATTAGGACACTTAGGTTATCATGCCTCAAAAATTACCATCATTGTAGATAGAAATAATAATACAATGCCGATTGTTGTCACTTGTTTTTTATTACCATCAGAGTACAAGTTTGAAGAGACAAATTGTTACCATATATTTGCATAAATCTAATGTCAGAATCTGTTGAATTGCTCTTGAATCCTTGCAAACTGGATAGAAGCAGATTCTTATTTTTTTTCTATACTAGTGTATTTTGGGATATCAATGTTTTGTCCAGAACTTGTGAGTACCAATAACTGTGTGTTTCAGAAATGATTGTGAGATTCAGTCATTGTGATCAATTGGGAAAATCAGTTAACTTGATCTTAGATACATGGATGGAAGCCCAAGGTAGAGGCTTGTCATTGTTTCTGTGCCTGCTGCCTTGGGAGTGTCTGCATTTCTTATGCTGTGTCCTGGGTCTATACCCCAAAGGCTCCCCTACTCCATGGCACCCGTCTGTGCCTGTGCATGCCCCTGCCCGTGCCCTCCATGAAATATCTGTTTTGGCTCAGGAAGAACCCCCCTGCCTTTTTTCCTCCTGCCGCTGGTCCACATTCTTCTCCACCCACAGGCTCTCAGCCGCGGCTCCCATCCACACTGACCCTACATTGGGTCATACCTTGTTCACCACTTCTTTTCTTCTGAGTCTTGCCTTTTATTCCAACAGCCTGTTTCCATCTCACCTGGACTTGTGTACAGGAAAGTGTTTACCAAGCAGGCTTGGGTTGTGCAAACCCTGAAAATTCCCAAAAAAGTGCTTTCTCAAGCCAGGTCCATATTCAGCTCCTGGCAGATGACATCTGCCTTTTTGGCAAACTCCCCCTGGTAGTGTTATTAAAGCACTTGCCTAAGGTAAGGTTCACATCTGTAAAACTACACATGATTTAACATAGTTAACTCAGTGAGTTCGGAGTCAGTGTACATCTGGAAAGTTATCCCCACCATCAAGGTCATAACTGTAGCAATCACTTCCAAAACATTCCTCTTATCTCTCTTAGTATTATGATTATTTTATTAGTTAAAATGTATTTTTGTTTCTTTGTGTCTGTGTCTCTCTGTGTGTAGCCTGGTTGCACACTATACTAGCTATTTTCATAATGACTTATGGTGAACGCCTATTATTGCTCAAGGGGCCGGCATTTGAGCACTGGAGGTCAGTTGTGCAGGTGCCACACACATCTGTGATGGGCCCCAATAAATAGCACTGGGCCCCAGCACTCAGGTGAGCTTCTCTGGTGGACGGTGCTTCACACGTGGTGTCATACATCACTGCTGGGAGAATTGGGGACAAGAGACTCCTCAGGGAAAGAACACCTGAGTGCTTGTGCTTGGATTCTCAGGGCCTTCTCCCTAGTGTCTTTGCTCATTTTAATTCATATTCATTTGCTATAATAAAGCTGCACCCATGAGAATAACAGCTTGTCTTGAGTTCTTTATTTCTATTGATTATGGGGCCTGACGATGACCTTGGGACACTCAACACAATTACATCAGAGGTGGAGAATGCTAGAAAGTTCCTGACTTGTGACACATGGCTAGAGGACTGTTTATAACATCAAAGGATGAGAAAGTGTGGGATAAAAGACATTCAATGCCAGATGGCTACAGAATGATATGGCATGAGATGGCGTGTGCGCTCCAATAAGGAGCAGGAAGTGAAAGTGATCCATGGAATTTAGAAATGACAGACACAGCTTCCCAGGAGTTGTTCCCTGAATAAGGAAAAGTAAAAATAATGAACAACCCGAATATGCAATTCATATCTGTGATAGCTAAAAATAAAAGTAAAAAGATGCACATCCAGCCCTGCACTGTGCTCTGTGAGCCGAGGCTGCTAGACTCCCATTCACCACCAAAGGGTACAGTTGTCCAGAAACAACACCAACACACAAGAGCCACACAGAAGGTAGCCCAGGAGTGGAAACTGGCATCATTTTGTGATATGATTGATATCATTAATTGATATCATCGGATTGCGAACAACGTTAGCCAATGGACTGTGAGAATGACTGACACAGCAGTGTCTCCGGCTTCCTGTGCTGCAGATGAGAGGAGAATGTTTGGGAGGATGCTGGACCCACAGCTCACAACAGACACATGACAGACGGCTGTCTCTGATCCCAACCTCAAGTAGGATGTTCCTGGTGCACTGGATCCCAGATCCTGGATAGCTTTAGAACCTGTGTAGTTTGTGTTTCCTTGGCTTCTCCTTTGGATCTTTTAGGTGCTAAGAAAATGAGAATGGTTCACCATAAAACAGGGCAGACAAAGGGGATAATTAAGGGCCTCTTCCAAGCAACGTTGGTATCATAAAATAAAAGTTAAAGAATGAAAGAACTATACAAGAAGGTGCTGGGGTTGACACAAAGGACTTGAAACAGCACTACCAGGAGTTGGGTGCAGCAATGGGGATCCCTTCAGGTCCATCAGCAATTCAGAGACCTAAACAACTATTCCCTATTCATGTTGAATTGGCAGAGTGTGAAATCTAGAAGACAAAATGGCCAGGAAAATTGTGTGATTTTTGCGTGGGTGAAGGTCTGGCAAGTTAATCAATTTGAGGACTGTTGAAGGCCTGAGGTGGTCCTGCCCTTGCTTGG